TGTTTTTATGAGTGGGCAATTTGAAATTACTGTTTCTATCATGATTCATATACATTTTGATAACTCTTTCTCAGCAGCGTCACCCCATTTACTTAGACTTAGTAGGGTTTTGTCATTGTTCTTGTTTTCCCAGGGGCTACTGGGTTTTTGTTTTCAGGTTTGTCTGTTACTATCACTTCACCACTTTTGTCCAAAGGACATATTGAAAAACAAATTTCCCATCCCCTGCTCTGACTATGGTAACAGGCAGACACAATCGTTTTCATTCTTACCACTTTTAATAATCACAATAAAAAAATCTTAGTCTACAAATCAGAAATATTCATTAAATTTTTCATTTGAATTTCATGTAAAACAAAAATTCTTATAAAAATAGAAATCACAGGTAGCTAGGAAGGTGGCAGAAATAAACATACACTTTTACAATAAGAATTCAATACACGGCTCTGATTTGGAAAACATTTCCATAAACTAGAGAACATGTGGCAGACATTTTATGGATTATTTTTTAAATGTTTAAAAAAATACCCTGATCTTATTCAGGGAATAAGGGGCCTTTTCGTTTGCCAAAAAGTGTAATAGGAAAACAGAAAGGCCACCTGTGTCAGCCCACCCTATAGCATGAACATGAGCTATAAGGGCATTTTAGAAAATATTTTCAAACTGAGATGAGAAAAAAAATCAGTATCAATACAGATTCTAAACAGATGCAAAAGACTTCTGTGCATGTTAGTAATTCTGTGTGTGGCCTCTCCAAACAAGCTAATTCCACATGCCTCCCCAACTCAGTGCACTTTCTCTGTTACAAGCTCCTTGTGATTAAAACGACAGCCTCCTACACAGCAACTTGGACAATGGACACAAACACAGGGAAAACTAATCAAGGCAAACAAGGTGACTTTTCCACACCCATAGATGGATTTTGTAAATCTTCAACGGCTACTGCATTCTATTCGACACTCGGCGCTGAACATTTGGTGTCTGTATATTAAGTGCTTCACTGGGATGTCCTATGGAAGAGATTGTCTCTCTTGGAGCTGAGGGACTCAACGGGGAGCTGGGCTGGTGACACTCTTTGCAGCCAGCGGACAACAGTAAACTCTTAGCACTCCCAGAGTTGCATCAAATTTTCCTTGGACTGAAACTGAAATGAAAGTTCAATTACTGAGAGGTAGATAAGTAAAATAAACAACTAATTTCATACAGAGAAGTTGGGAGAGCGTCATCTGGACCTCATTCTGTTGTCTCTGAACACTGTATCTGAAGGGGAAAAGGAGCTGAGTAAACTTTAAACTCGCATGTAGGGATGTATTGCTTGTGTGTCCCTGGCAGATGTGGAAAGGAGATGAAATGGGCAGGGGAGAATCAAATATCCCTTCGCTGCAGGTTTGCCGAGAGAAAGAGCGCTGCAAAGACCTCACATCTGGCAATCATTTGTCAATAGCTGGAAAGAGAACGGCAGGAAACTTTCTGGCTCTTGGAGAAGATGAAAAGACAAAAACCATGTCTCTCTCCTCTCTCTCTCTCTCTCTCTCTCTCTCTCTCTCTCTCTCTCTCTCTCTCTCTCTCTNTCTCTCTCTCTCTCTCTCTCTCTCTCTCTCTCTCTCTCTCTCTCTCTCTCTCTCTTTCTCACACACACACACACACAGAAAAAGTACACGGACAACCAGACTTATGCTCGACCACTGCCACCCCCACCCCCAAATTTAATGATCTTCAGATAGACTCTACTCCATGGTCAAAAACATGCAGTCACTTGACTTGTTAAAGCTGCAGTGTGTGTACATTTTTCAAATAAACCCCAGGGCTGATGTTAGAAAATCAAAATCAGTCAAGCATAGACCGCCTGGTACTTTGGGCAGGAATCCTTGTGGTTTAGTCAATAAACAGAATCTGAATGAAAGACACCACAGTAACTAGACAGTAACGTTTTGAACAGCTCTTAACCTGAAGGGAGGTGGGGGGATGGGGCACTAGTGACCAAGGACATAAGGCTACCAGTCCACTTAGAGCCGAGTGCCTGCAATGTGACTGCTTACTATACTGTCTTCTGTGTTTCTAACAAAGAGTGGGGAGAGAGAGAGGGAAAGAGAGAGAATGAGAATAATCTTATATGGGGGTGTTATGAGTGAATCTGAGAAGAACTTTTAGAACATTAATTATACCTATCTAGTAAGGTGGAAGGGGAAACCTGTCTCCATTTTGTTCACACTGGCACACTACAGACAATTTGCAGCTTCACTGTGTGTTGGTAAAGATGATCAGCTATGTCCCCACTGGTTCACCACACAATAAACAAAGTTTTCGAGATACCCCCATACCACATTAATTAAATTCTCCAAAATCACAGAAAATAAATCTGCTCACAGTGATAGATAGACTTGGAGGGGTTGCTGCGTTTAACTAGCAGGCGCTGCTGCTGTGGCACTTAGCCCTGTGACTCCGCAGTGAGTGCTGCAGGTTGTTTAATAACCTGGCAAGTTCACAGCAGCTTGTCAGATTATTACAGGAGCAGCGTCATCACTAAACAAGCCTGATCACGGTTAATTACAATGCAGACCAGAGAGCAGCCACGATTGTTCATTAATTACAGGAAGCACCTCATTTAAATTTTATGGAAATTTACACTTGCACCCCGGTATGTCTGGAAAAAAAAAAAGAGATCCTTCACGCATTCACAGAAGAAAGGAGTCTGTGGTTTATGAAACATCACAGTAAATTGTGTCTAATCTGGTATTGAAATATTGGCTCATTATGTACTCTAATTTTCTAAGCACTTCAGTGGTAAAAAAAGACCAAGTTGAACCTCACATAGTGAACTCCCAACCAAGAAAAAAAATGTGAAGGTAACTCTAACAACTCAAACCATGACTAGATGCAGTGAGGATAAGAAAGGTAACTTTTTATTAAACATATACAAAATACTTGTCAGCAATTAAGGAGGGTCTGCCCTAGAAGACCACTTCCTAGAAGGCAACTGTACAGGTGTACAACTTCAGAAGAAATGAGGAAAATAAGCCAACACGTGGTGAACTAAGGCTGATCTTCTAGCTACTCGAACATATTAACCCAAAAACACAACAGGTACCTTTGAAAAAGTCAATCAGGCACAGACTTGCAAGACCAAAGATATGAGGATAAGTATTGGAAATACCAAGATTATTAAACCATGAAGCTGCTAAGGTAGCTGAAAATATAAGAATAAAAGGCAGGGATTTAAAAATAAAAAAGAAGTTAAGGACAGAAAGAGGTTCCATGAGTCATGAGAATGTAAATCAACTGAAGTATAAAACTAAACCATACATGAGAGTATATCCCTAAATGAAAATTCTTAATAAGAAGCAATATAAACAAAGTATTGCTTCCAAACAATGTGCCCTAGAAGACACTCTGAGAATCAGGAGGCCAAGCAGCAAACCTCTGGCCATTTACAATGCCTAAAAGAAATGAAGCCTAAAGGTACTTCTGGAATAGTTGGTTGGTAAAGAACAGAGGCAGTGTACTGTGACTGACATAGAATGACCAAAATGGATATTACTAAAAGGATGGAAGCCATACATGGGGGAGGAAAGGACAAGAGAAGCAGAAGGTTTAAGTATGTCCAGACTAATTCACCAATTCAACCTAGTTGACAGTCTTTCAAGAGACGTAATTTCCCCCTTCAGTCTACTAAAATAGTGCTAAGGAGGGGACTAGGAATGTCACCATTTTCCTTAGTTTCTATGCGGAGACCACATTGACTTGTCGACCATACCGTTTACCTACAACCAGACTTTCACTAAACACAGACATGCACTTCTTTCCTCCTTCACTGTGCCAAGATAATATGCTAAATAAACATTTTTTACATTTTATTGTAGACTGGCTTTGCAAACCCATTTTCTTCCCACTATAACTCAAGGTTCAAAACACATTACCCGCACAAGCCACTAATGGTGACTGCTGGAAGAATATTCTCACGTCATGCCAAACGTCAAGGATCAAGCTAATCCCCACAAGAAGCCTTCTGTCACTCCCATCTGCATGTCACATACGCTGTTAGTTTTCCAGAACTAGGAAATACATGATCATAGCTTGAATGTGCCACACCTGCTTTCCTATTGTACCACATCCATACACCACCTAGACAGTACCAGCTTGGGACGAAACAAAGCTCAGGTGGTCTTCTCGAGGCCAAGAGCAGGTGTGCAAGAGATGTTACTCCCCCCCCCCTTAGTACTATAAAAATTGAAGCCTCCCTATCCCACCCTCATTTCCACTACAAGGAACTCAATTGGAAAAATGGTTCTCTTTTATTATGTGTTGCATCTAAATTAGAAAAAAAATAAAACCTTAATATTGTTGAAAAACCTAGGAAATGATGCCAAGCCAAGACTTTGAGAAAACTGGGTTTATTCATGCCATCCATGTTGAAACCTCAGCCTGTACATTGTGATGGCAAACATAGCCCTCAAAAATCCAAAAGCACACAGAGGCGGAGATGCTCTTCATCATCTTTATATTTTTTATTTTGCAATATGCCAAGCCAGGTCCAATGCCTCAAGACCACACAAAGTGAACAAAAATCCAAGCCAGCATTTTTAGGAGAACTGTACTTTGCACACATCTCCCAGTGTACTAAGACAGAGATGCTTATTGTTAAGGGTTACTCTCCCTAAGTACCCAGGTTTGGAATCACTTGCCAAAAGTCTTGTACTAACCTGTGTTAGTCTACACAGTCAGCCTTCAGGATCAGGGAATTTTTTTTTCTACCCCAGAGTACATCTCATGGATGGATGGATAGATGGATGGATGGATGGACAGATAGATAGATGGACAGATGGATGATAAACTTCTTCCAATTATATACAACTCTGCTTACAAGGCTCTTACATTAATCCTTCTTTACTCTGGTCTAAAGGGTTATCATCTCCTGATAGCACTGATAACACTGTTATGGCCTCCAGGGACCATGGTTTCTGTCACACCACCCCCAGCTAATAAAACAGTAAGACTCCAACCTGGACATCCAGCCTCTGGTCTGGCTCCTCCAGGTTTGGGCAAAAGTCTGCACCCAGCACTCTGCCAGCACATGCCAGTGGAACCTGAGGGAATATGGCTGGGTTAGATGCTGGGTATGGGGGCTGCAACATAGTCAAACTCTACCCAGACAGAAGCAGGGACATCCCAATCGCAGGTCTGAAAAGGGCCATGATGACCTGACACATATTTGACATTTGCTATGACAAATATATTGAAAATACATTAAACTTAGTTTATAAACTATGAAAATATAGTTATAAGAAGGAAATATCTCCATAAATTTTGCCCCCATGGCCCCGGCCCTATATTTACATCATACAGCAAAAAAAAAAATAGTCATAAATGTCTATAGACAGAAAGAAAGGAAGTTCAAAGGGAGAGAAAAGAAAAAATGAGGGGAGAAAAAAACTGAAACAGACTTTACTGGACATTGATGATACCTTCTTTCTACCTATCCTTCAATTTCCAGAGAAAATTGTATTTTCTATCATCTAAAGTTCCTTTCTACTCTTAAGACATGTTTAATTTCCCTCTTATCAGATATGTTAGCACAGGCAGATTTTAACTTATAAATATCTATATTTTATTTGCAAGCTACTATCTTGTTTTACGTCTTGTTTGTTGGAGAAGGGATGTTTTGTTCATACTGGGAAGGACACTGAAAGTAGTACTTGACACACTATAGGCAAGTGTTTGGCTATCAACAAACCCCCAGCCTCAATACTTACTGTGTTTAAGTATAAGAAACACAGCATAAAGCTTATTCCAAAAAAACAACAGCAATGAGATGTTTTAATTTGGTAGCTAATTCCCAGCGTCTAAAGTTCTACCATGAAATTCATGAAGATCCTCTTTCAAAATTACGTCTTCTATTACAGTCAGTTAGTTTCATCCATTACCTACTCCAACTTACTTCATCTCTGATTTTAAGATGATGAGAAATGGATTTAGAATCTATCTAAACTTATTTCCTATGTTTAGCATTTTTCTCTAGGGCTTGAAGATCTAGCTTAAAGATACTAAGCAAGGCTCCGGATTCTACCCCCAGAATAGCAAATATAAAATGTTCTCTTGGTATTTGTCAACACCTACTCTGTGCTAACCACATTATCTACCAATATCTACCACAATGCATCAATCATGGGACACATCACCTGTGTCTCCCTTTGGCATTTGAGTCTTTCAAAATTCCAATTAAGTTCACTTGTGTTATCAATGTCCTTGTCAAGGGGTCAGTCCTCAGTCAGGTAAGCTACTGGAGTGATTCCCTCTTCCCCCCATCTTTCAATCAGCTTGACGCTCAGGCTCTCAACAGCTCTTAGTAGATACCACCTGCCCCCAAGGGCTGTCTCTCATACCGGTTAACCTTTCAAACACTTTTAAAACCAAGGTTCCCCTTTCTGCTTAAATCTCTTATTTGTCTTTCATGCCGAGGCCCAAATAGTAAAAGGCCTAAATGTCATCTGTTGTCACAGATAATAAGTCTTGCTGGTTTATGAAAAGGGTTTTGGTTGGTTGGTTGGTTGGTTGGTTGGTTGGTTGGTTGGTTTTTCGAGACAGGGTTTCTCTGTAGCTTTGGTGCCTGTCCTGGAACTAGCTCTTGTAGACCAGGCTGACCTCGAACTCACAGAGATCTGCCTGCCTCTGCCTCCCGAGTGCTGAAATTAAAGGCATGCGCCACCACCGCCCAGCCTAATTAAACCACCTTTTATCTTCAACAATTTTATGAGTATTTACAATCTATAAGCAAAAAATATCAAGACTTACAGTAGATAATTGCCTCTGTGTTACCTGCTATTAAGTTGAAAAATTCAAACTTTAGAAATGAAAAGAAAAAAAAAATACTGAGGACAAGATCCTGGGTAAGAAAAACTCCATTCAGTGCCATCAGTTCTAAAGGTGTTTGCTGATTTTACACATTATAATGACAATACAGGAAATTGTCCACTATTTGTGTTTTATTCTAAAACAATATAAGCAATTTTTTTAAAGAATTTATACTCTATAAGTTGCGGGAGGGGGAGACTGGGTAGAGAAGCAGAGGCTTTAGGAATTTGTGTTGTGTCGCAGAGAGAAATGATGCTGATTGTACCCTGCAGTTGACATATGGAGGGGCACTAATGAGTTCTGCATCAGTAATTCTCTCAAGGGGACAATAAAAGGAAAAGGAAAAAAATCAATCTTGGAATATTCAATATCAAAATGAATCCTCTCCCATCCCGCAAAAGATTCCTACGAAACCCAATGAATGTGACGACGGAGCTGACTGAAATGGTTTCCATAAGCCAGAATGTATATACGGCAAATTGTGTGTAAACAGTACCTTATTTCACATACACAAAGTAAATTGCTACTTATCTTAATATTATCTGACCATGTCACAAATCCTGAGCTTCTAGACTCTTTTCAGCCTCACACTCCCAGAATGCAATTTATAAACACTCTCAAGAGGAAAGGAGAAAGTTAAACAACTATAATTACATTCAATTACAACTTCAGACACTTAGAAATACAGTTCTGAGAGGGAAGCAAGTCTTTTGAGCAGGGGAGGAAAGCTGCAGCAGCTACCAGGATGCTTCAACAGTCCGAGTCACAGAGAAGAACTCGTGGCGGGTGGCATTCCTGAACTCAAGAGTCCTAGGATTTCTAGCAGGAGAAAGGAAATCAGAAGGACGCGTGACTTCCATGCTCTAGAGACAAAGCAACTGAGATTCAAATCCAACTGCACAGTTCAGGAGGTTACAATCCAGCAATGCCCAGCGCCCCGTCACAACTGCCACAGCCAGTGCCATCCGTTATCACACGGAGAAAGTCTTAAAGAAAAATAAGTGGCAACTGGGGCATAAAAGATGATGAACTAATTAGCTGTAATAGGGCATTGATTCCTGCATCTTTTGATTTAGAAATCTCAAGTTAGCCCACTCTCTCTAAGTAACCAGAAAGGGACTGCCATTAAGGGACGACACAGATGTCTGCCCTATCCTCCCGCTACTGTGAACTGAGAGGCTGAAACACAGTAGGCCTAGCTAGTATTTGCAATATAAATATTAAAGTGACTTCGAGATTCTTCTTTATGCATGTTATGCATGTTCTTCTGTCACAGTAACCAGTGTCTATGTCAACACCACACTCGAAGATGAAACCACACTGGGTTTTCACAAACCATTCACAAGAATTACAACCTCATGGACATTGTAGTCTTTAATTGTCCTTCTAATTAGGTTTTGCTTTTAGAGTTAATAAAATGTTTTTTCTGATGAAGAAAAAAAATAACAAACCAATCAGCTAGTATTTCAAAACTTGATTCTACAGGTTTCTTTGTGGGATTCTGTTTTGAACATATAGACTTCATTCTGCTGGTTTGGTAACAAACAGCAAGGGAGAGAAATTGCAAAAGACCATGAGATCTCCAGGGGAAGCTGAAGCAGGGTACCTGGCTGCTCTTGTACAGACCTCAGAGGAATCATGGTGCATGAGAGAGCGATTTACAACTTACTTTGTGTATAATCAGCAGAAACAAAAGATGACAACAAGCACAAAGGCTTCTCTCTCTCTCTCCTCTCAGGAGAATTCAGAAAGGGAGGGCCAGTGGGCATTCACTTCAGTGTCAAAAGGGCTTTCGGAAAACACATTTTCTGTGGGACAGGGAGGAAATGTACCAGACTTCCTCAACTCCCCACCACCCCACCCCTGTCTCTCTCCCTCTCCCTCTCTGTCTCCCTCTCCCTTTCCCCCTCCCCCTTTCTCTCACACATGTACACACACACACACACACACACACACACACTACAATTTTATTCGTCTACTTAGGATACATATAAAACTGTTAGGCATTAGACTTCAAAAAATAAAACAAAAACACCAAGAACTGAAAAGGGATGCAGCTCAAACTATCTGGAGGTGAGTGGATGGGTGTGGAGGAGGCGTAGAAGAATAAGAACAAAAAGGAGACACAGAATCAACGACTTGAGGAGAAATATGTTACTGAGAAAGGGGCTTATGGAGCCAGGGATGACTCAATCTGAAATTCAGTTTCCCTTTTAAATATAAAACATTCATGTAAGCTTTTCCCTGACAGGCATCATGAAAGTCACAGCCCAAATAAACAAAGTAACTTCGATGGCAGCTCAAGTCTTCACAGTTAAGCTGGCTATAAGCCCAGATCAGTTCTGAATCACTCCAAGTGTTTTGGTGATTTCCAGTCCAGCAATGATGAAAGGGGTAAAGAAACCAATCAGAAGAATGTAGAAAAGAATGAATATACAAAGGTGGATATGAAAAATAGAACGAAGGAAAGAGATAAAGAGAAGGTACATTCCTTTAAGAGGACTCGGGGACATGCTGAGTGCAAGAACTGTTACATTCCAAGCCAGAGGAAAGCATTAATGGTGCTTCAAGATGCCAAACAGCAAGAGGAAAACCACCCATATAATACAAGTTCTGGAAAGCCATTAAGTGAAATAGCTCATACAATAGCTAGGCAGGATCTCTAGAGAAAGAGAAAGAGAGAGAGAGAGAGAGAGAGAGAGAGAGAGAGAGAGAGAGAGAGAGAGAGAGAGAGAGAGAGGGAAGAAAAAAGATTTCCCACTACCGTGAAGATGACGATGTATGCAAAGCACGGTGCTGCCAAATACATGAACAAAAAAGCAGAAACAGTAAGGTGAGCTACAGGGGCTGGGTGTGCACCTAACTTACATCAGAACTTCTCAACTGATAATTAAACTAAAGACAGGACTAAAAGTACCGAATCATGGATCTCTAGGCTAACACTGCCAAGGGTTAAGCACACAGAATCTAAAACAGAAAAATGAATGTTCTACTCCCTGATGAGAAAGGAATGCATATGTCGCAATGTTCTTTCTTCTAATAAAAAGTGGACAGAAATATACCCATTCTTATAGAAGCCTGAGATGAGACAGGGATGCTCTCAGAAGAATCAGGTAAAGATGAGGGGGGAAGATTATAAAGGAAGAATACAGAAGTGGATATGTGACACTCTGGAGTCATGTGATCATACTACTACTCATCAGATTGACAGGAGTTGATAAAAATGGCAGATGAC